CGTCCCCTCAGGGGGAATCGTTGATGATACTGTTGTGGATGGCATCACCATGGTACTAGCAATCGAAGGAATGGGTTCAGTTACCATTGCAGAAACCGTTCCCTTCTTAGCACTATTAGAAGACTGGTCTTCATTATTATTTCTTGGATTCACCATTCTTCTAACAGGTTTCCTCACTTCTCTCTTTGTTATTTTACCACACCTTAATCTCATGCACACTCGTACACAAAATGAAAAGTTGAAGAAAACACACGTAACAAATTATGATTTTTTATTACGAATACGTAAAAACAAACACACAAATGGGTCCCACTGAACGTGTCACTTTGTTTACTGTGAAATTTGGTAAACAAATACAGGTTTCTATTAATACTTAAGGGATCAAACTCGAAAGCCTCTCAAACATAGTTGTGTGTTTATTACTTGTGAAAATCATAAAGTTGTCGAAATATTTGAAAATGTTTATTGTGATCACTTGTAAATAACAAAAGTATTTAAAGAACAAAGGGTCTGGAATTAAAATGCAAGTAAAGTAAAGGAAACACTTTGAAATCGAAAGAAAAATGCAAGAAAAGAAAGAGTTGAAATTAAAGTGCAAGTAATGTAAACTGAAAGGAAAAATAAAGGAAATTGAAAGGGACTTTAATGCATAAAAAGACTTTTAAGGTAAAAGTGCTGGAAATGTATAAAATAGTGGAACGCATACGTTCATCTTTCCTCACTCTTTTCTCAAGACGCGTGTACTTTGAGTTTACATGAGTACAACTGCGGAACCTTTATAAAATGAACCTAAGTGTCCTTATATATTACTCTATGATATCTGTCTAAGAATGGTAGACTACTTCCATGGTGACACGTCTCAAGTCCATGCAACAGTTCCCTCAACGCGCTCCCATGTTTCTATGAATAACCATCGATGTTGACGTAGTTCCTGCCTTGTGATATCATTTGAATTTCTCAACTTCTTTTCTAGGCGCCAAGAACTGACTATCCTTGTTGAGGCCTTCGACGTCGACCATTTTAAAATAGCATGCGTCATTGTATTGTCCATTATAGTGATAAACTCCACATGTAGCATCCAAATCAACATTGTTTCCATTATAGTGATGAACTCCACATGTAGTGACTAGGTCGACATTACTTCCATTATAGTGATGAACCTCAACCTTAGCCAACATAGCATAATATCCAATTTCACTAAGTTCCTAAGTTCCTCACCATCTCCTTTAACCCTGCCACCTTAGATCGACATCGCTTCATGTGACTTCCAACTTTGGGTCATATTGATCCTCATATGAGCTCATTCTACTTTCCCCTTCTATGTGGCATGCTTGTGGCTAATCTCATGAGTTCTTTCCATTTACAACTAAGTCAAAAAATCTAGTGTAACAGAAACTCAACTTTGTTTTTCTTTTGGAGGAGCATAGAGCGCATTTCTAGGTCACTATAACAAATAGAAATAGGTAGAGGGGAACGCCTGCCACTAGGAGTGTCAATATGGGCGGTGCTACCATGAAGGCCTTCAGGTTGGAGAATGCCTCCTCACACTCACTTGTCCATTCAAAGTTATCCTTATTCTTTAAAGTGGCAAACAAATGGAACGTCTTGTCACCTTCACAAAAAAGAAAGCAATATAGGGAAACTAATTTCCTTGTTAGTTGTTGAACCTATATAATATTGGATGGACTTCTCATGTTGATGATGGCTTAACACTTGTTTGGATTCACCTTTATCCCTTTCTTGGTTAACATAAATTCCAAGAATGTATCCGCTTATAAGCCAAAAGAGCACTTAGCAGGGTTTAAGCGCATGTTATACCTCTTGGTGATTCCATGATATCTTCTAGATCTACAACATGGCTTTTCCCTTTTGATGTTTGCACAACCATATCATTGATATAGACTTCCATGTTCAGTCTTATCTGCTTTGCTAATACAAAATCCATAAGTATTTGGTAGGGGCTCTTGTGTTCTTCAGTAAAAAAGGCATGACATTGTTGTAGTAGTTTCCATGGTTAGACATGAATTTTGTCTTAAGCACTTCTACATGATCCATCTTAATCTAATTGTAGCCAGAGTAGGTCTCCATAAAACTCAGGGTTTTATAGTCTAATGATCCATCAATCATCCATTCAATATTGCGTAATCGATATGAATCCTTAGGGCATGAGGGAATTTAGGTCATTGAAGTCGACACACATGCATCATTTCTTTGATGACTCGTGAACTAAAACCACTTTAGTTAACTAGGATTAGTACTTAACCTCAATTACAAAGTTAAAGCTTCTTAGTTTCCATGTTTCCTCTTCAATGGTTTCCCACTTCTCCTCACCCACCTTATGCTTCCTTTTGAGGTATTTACTTCACGACGGAATCAATGGCGAGTCGATAGAAGACCTTCCTGGTATATATCCTTGGCATGTCAGAGGGAGCTCAGGAGAATAAGTTGACATTCTTCCTCAATAATGCGACCAACTCCTCCCCGACTTTAGACAGAGAGGTGCATTTCTTGGTAACTTGGAAGTTCAAAAGCCTAGCCTATACCTCCTTTAAATCCTTTCTAGGAGTGAGCCTTTTATTTTCCATCTCCAATCTAGGATCCAAATTTGTTTCATTAGTTTTTTGCGCGGCTGGTTATGGGATGAAAACGATGACCACTTCCTCCCTTGTCATTTTAAGACCACTCTAACAACATTCTTGGGAGATATATTGTTCCCCTTGGACCACCTTAACTCACTTGTTGGGTAGAGGAAATGTCATGCTTAAATGTAGGGGGACAAGACAACCCTCATAGGTTGAGGGTGGGTCGCCCTATGATGGTGTTGTATGCTGATGAGACATCTACTACAAGATATTTTACCTTGATTGTATTTGTGTTTGCCTCCATCCCAAACATCATCTCGAGTGTTATTTGGCCTTTCATTTGTACCTGCTCGCTTAAGAGGCCAACTAAGGATCCTTAAAATGCTCTGATGTCATTTGGATGAAGCTGAAGTCTCTCAAAGGCGTTCTAGAGCAAGGCATTTGTCGAGCTTCTGAGGTCAATCAACACTCGCTTTACATACCAATTATCATACTACATCATGATGAATGAGGGATCATTGTTATAAGGGAGAATGTCAATTGAATCTTTGTTGGAGAAGGTGATTATTGACTTTGGCTCCTTCTAAAGCTTATTCCAGGACTAACGAGTATAATGCTCGATGTTAAAACCTTCTTATCATACTTCTAGTAGGATGAACTAGATTATCTACCTGCTGCTAACCCTCCTGCAATGGTGTTGATGATGATATCTAAGCTTTGTTTCAGCATTCTCATGGAGATGGTGACAAAAGTGACTTGTGAATGATAACGTGTCTGGCCCGAGTTAGGTTTGTCGGGCCCACGGTGAGTGTCAATTGTACTTGTTAAAAATATACAATAAGGATAACCTTGTATTTATATGGCTATATGTGATGTTTTAAGATTGTTGCTGTTAGAGAAAACTCATGCAGAGTGGTGAGAAGCTTTGTATAGGTGAATCTTAGGTGAATTGACAGATTTGTCTTAATCTTGTGGTTAATGTATTTATAGAGGTCTATTGGATCTGGATCTTTGGACCCAAGAAGTGGTTATTTTGCTCATCTCTAAAAAGTGCTGAAAGTGGAACCATTATTCTCCATATTATTCTAGAGAACGTGGTTTTCCCCCTTTGGCTGAGCTTTCCATACTGTTAGTGTGTAAGGACGCGTTATTCCATAAGTTTTATAATGAGTGACGAACACTCTGACCCTAGCCGAATAAGGGGTGAGTGTTGCGATCAATGGGCGAAAGTAGCAACCAATGGGCAACAAGAATTATACCCTGGACAACATATGGTTCTAGCTATGTACTCGACCACCGGAGCTGAATTGCCTTGCTTCTCTTTGGTTTACCGTCACTTAAGCAAACAAATTTATTTAGTACAAATTTGAAGACATTTCTCAAACACCATTTGAACACGGATAGGAATGCGTGACATCCACCAAATAATTTAATGCAACATATCTATCGAATCATTATCAGACCTAAAATCCTTTCAAGTTCCATATTTGGACTCATTGAATAAAGCTCCAATTGTGCCTATTAAGGTTCAACGAAAAATATTCCTTGCCAACATGAAGAATGAATTCCTACCCCAAGACACCATGACTCCCCCAACTAACAACTCAAGGGAAATAGTTCTTAACTTGGCCAAATTGAATCTCTCAACAAACCGAGTCATCCCAAGTCAATAATCAAATATGGATGATTTTCCCACTTTATAGTATGCAACATATTGTCTCTGAAATAACACAAACTTGCCTGCCCAAAAAATATATAAATTACATCTCAAACCTAAGCTTACATTACACATGTCTTCAATCTAAATTTTCATTTAACACATAAAAAACAAACACAAAGTTTGACTATGCATAGAATGACCCTTTGTTCTAATCAATGAATGGCAAACCGAACTAACCCAAAAGCAACTCTCTTCAAACATTCAAATTGAATCAAATCACCAACAAACCCATAATACTAATATAATAATAACAACTCATTATCACAACCCATGCAGTACTGCTTCACCTAAAAGCTCAAAAGTTAAATGCGACTATGCATTGCATTGGGTCATTCATTCTTCTTTTCTTTTCTTTTCTCTCCCTTGTCAACCAATGTTTAGTATTAGTACTACACACACTACACACACACCATGTAACATTAACACAAAACGACAAAACAAAAACCATAACCTCTACGTGGCGTTTTCATAGCAAAAGCAGTCAAATTACTGATCGTCCTTTCTTATTACTGCTTCATCCATATAGCTGTATGGGTCCCACCACACCACACACACTTTTTTCTTTCTCTTCTTCTTTTCATTTCTATCTTCTCTCAATATTTGTACTATCTTCTCCATAAATTCCTCTTCATCAAAGCTATACACTTTCCATTCACTAGTAAGTAGTAACCACCATAACACTACACAACAACATCAAAATGGTGGGTTTGAGTGTAGTATTAGAATCTCAAAAAGGTGGTATAATAAGCAAGAACAACAAGAAAACTCCACAAGTTATTAACAAAACAATGATGCTTAATAGCTTCAACAAACAATCTCATTTTCAGGAACAACAAACAACGTTTCTGGAACTATGTTTTCTCTGCAGGAAAAGGTTGTTACCAGGAAAAGACATCTATATGTACAAGTAAGTCCTTTTATATTATAAATAACAGATCTTATTTTACTTTAATGTTTTATATTTATATTTATATTTATATTTATATTTATATTTATGTTTAGGTTAATGTTTATATTTATTCTTTATTTTTGTTTTGTTCCTTAAAAAATGTTTTTATTTTTTATTTTTATGATTCTTTGTTGAGATTTTATGTACTCATTTTTGGTGTTTTTATTTTATTTGAACCATGAAATAATGAAGAGGGGATAGAGCTTTCTGTAGCGTGGAATGTAGATGCAAGCAGATTTTCATGGATGAGGAAGAAAGTAACAATCTTCAGAATGAGAACTGTTATTTTGCTGCAATCTCTTCATCTTCATCTTCATCCTCTTCAGAAGCTTCTTATCATAAAAAAGGAAGAAGAAACCAAAACGGTGGCTATGCTTATTGATACATGAATGAAGAAAGGAAAAGTAGATTAGAGTTAGAGAGTAGAATGAAAATATTGTGAGACAAAAAATGGGTGATTTTTTTTTTTTTTTTGTTTTGAAATAGTTATGTACCGGTTTTACCCTTGTTAATGTTGTGATAAGTTCAAAGTGTTTTGTCCTTTTGTTTTTTTGTATGAAGCTGAAACGTCCTTTATACTTTTTATTTTATTTTATTATGGGCTCCATTCTCCAACCTCTTTGGTTATATAGTGTGTTTTTTGGTTATTATAATTGACTTGTTAACTTTTTCTTGCACTCTAGATGTTTCTACATTTAGTTTAGTGTAATTGATGGAAATTTACAAGTTTTATATGATAGATTTTCTTTTACAATAGGGGAGACATGCTTCTTGCTCAAGTCCAAACAAATATGCTATAGTTAAATGCACATCCGAATAATGGTTAAATGTCTATTGGGTTTTATTATGGCAAAAACTTAATCTTAAAAAGTTCATTTGAGCAAGGAAATTAAGGTAAGAATTAATCTTAAAAGTGTCTGTTTGAGCAATGCAACTTAAGAATTAATCTTAAAAACATCACCCTATACTCATTAGTTTATCTTGATGACACCCTTGTCACTAGCACACTTCATAACAAGTTTGCTTTGAAGAAACATTGCAAACCAAAGGATTTTCTTGGAATCAAGATGCATCATCAACCTAAAAACTATAAAAGTAAACCTTTTGTATACTAGTTAGGTTTGGAAGGACATTTTTGGCTTTTTATTCCTATAGTAGTTTTGTTGGAATGTGACTTATGTCGACCATTATTACCTCTATTATAGGCTACACGAGTCATGGCTATATGAATCCTCTTTGTCACAATCCTTTAAAATATGGAAGAGTTTGTGGTTCTTACAAATTAAAGCATCACCATTCCTCCCTTGGCTTTGGGAAATTGAATAGTTGTTTTTCACCATAAAGACAATGCAAAATACTATATTAGTCATTATTTGTTGAATTTTTTGTTAGTATCATTTAAAGGAATATTTGTCCGGGTAAATAATAATGTAAGATTCCTTTCGAAGTTGGAGTTTGGCTTTTAGCACTACTACACTATACTTGATATTTCTAAATCTCAAAGGTGAATTTAACATAAAACGACTCAAATAAAAATACCTTATTATAGAGACAGGAGTATTTTACATTGCCACGTTTCTTAATTTTCATTAGCTTCTTAAGATACTGTCAAGCGCCAAGAGAAAAACTACAGGCACAATCAAAATTTCATTAGCTTCTTAATTATCAAGATACAGTTTTGACATTGGTAATTCACAATTGTAACTGTGTAATTTATTTAAATTATCTATTTAGAATATACTTGTAGTATATACTGTAAGATTTATCTAATTAATCTTTCGTTAAAGATAGAAAAACTACAGGCACAATCAAAATTCTATTTATTTAACCTAGATGTCGTTTTCATAGAAAGTAAAAGGACTATGTTTTTATGTTGAAGGGAACTAGTCTTTATGAAAATACAAGAGTTGCGGTTTGTTGGAGAATATAGGTACATTATTAATGTTTTCTTAAATATATTAACTTCAACTTTTTGATAGTACAGAAAGCCATAAGTAACCCTTTGAATTTAATTTATCTTTTGATATTTGTGGGGTTGAAATCAATGTAATATTTTTTTGGTGTAATGGGATATTCTTTTTAATATACTGTAATTGTATAGAGTATAGACTAAATTTTCCATTCATAATTTTAAATGGGTGTCTGTAACCATAATTGCAATTGCAACTTTGTTGATGCGATCTAAACATCCACATTAGATTATAATTGTGTAGCGAATTAAAATCATGTGTGTGATAGTGTCAAAAAATGCATTAAATAATTTTGTTTATATTTGTTCACTTTTCGTAAAAATAAAAATTTTAAAACCAAAATTTTTAATCTTTTATAAATGTAATAAAAAGTCTTAACTTTTAGTATTTTTTAACTGTATAATTCAAACATCCCTTATAAATCTCAGGTTTGAATGACTATGTACAATTTGATTTTTTTTTTGTCAGGTATGGGAAGTCCAGCCTCAAATCTTAGTTAGCTCGATAGAGGGAAGCCGGATAAGGTCAAGTTAATGGGCGCCAAGGTGATCTTTTTAGCTAAAGGTGACAGGCGCGAATAATAGAATGGAAGAGTCCAATGTATTCAGATTAAGCATTTATGGTTGATTGGCAACATTATAGTCAGTGATCTCTTATTGAAGCTTAAGGTCGCCTTAATTTGGGACAATCGTCTTAATGGACTTTTTGGGCTTTCAATATTATTAGAATTAGAGCGACTATATAAGAAGAAGAGCACCCATGCGAAAAAGATATATCCATTTTACAATTCAGAATAACTGAGTTTTATTGGTCCTACGCCAAGGGAATATCAATTGTGTACTTTTACTAGTACATTTGGTTCCTACCGTAAGGCTCGGCAAAACTGACATGGGCCTCAAGTTCAATTACAACAAAAAAGACAAAGACATCAATGAAGATGATAAATAAAAAAAATTCAAAACTACCTTTGTCTTTGTTGAGGTGGGGCTAATATCAAACAAAACCCTAAATCTCTTTTTATCATTGAACCTTTACGTCTAAAAAATAAATATAAATAAATAGTGTAGTGTTATATTTGTTAGGATCCCCAATTAAGGTGATTCTTGGGTCCCTGTCCGAAGGGATACCGCTTAGGAGACATCCCCACATAACTTGGGGGCTCGCCTTCAAGATATATGACGTGTATTATGTCGTTGTCTCCCATTATATATGTAAGAGGGAGTCTCACCATGACTCTCTGAGAAATAGGCCGTCATCAGTCTCCTCTAATCATGGGAGAGTGATTGTTGCTCCTTAGGGTTTCCCAAACCCTATTCTAAAATGGCATATATAAATACTTCTCCACCAATAGGGGAAGGGGACCGAATCTATATGCTTATACTTAAGCATTAGATAATTACATAGAGTTTCTCACTTCACTTGAGCAAGTCCTCTAAACCACCCCAAACACCACCATATAGGACTTATTGTCGTTGTAGGTAAGTTCTAACCACCATACAACGTAATATACCTACTAAGATCTTTAAGTGCCCTTGCCCTTATAGGGGTAACATACACACCTATACATTTTGACCAGTACAATGGTTCCTATTGTGGGTCCTAGTAAAACTAGCCTGGACCACACCTTCTTCATCATAATAACCTTACCTAGTTGCTCTCATACGAGATATGGGGAGTGTCTGTCTCGAGGGATTCAAACCTCCATCTTCGGCCAAGTTCGATAGACATAGAGATCCCTACGAACAAGTTGCTCCCATCAGCATCCAAACGGACATCATCGAAGTTCTTGACTCCCTGAAGTGAAAGTTGTTGTTTGGAACTTTTAGTGATGCCACCTTGGAGTGGTATATGGGCCTACCCAGTAACTCCATCACCAGCTATGCGGAGCTCGTAAATAAGATTGTACACTAGTTAGTTTCCAGTCGCCACAGGAAGATGTCAAACACTAGTCTATTCAATATACGGTAGGTTCCATCAAAATCACCAAGGGACTACCTTTCCCAGTTTAACGAAGCCACAATCGGGGTCGTCCCACTAAAACAAGAAAATTTTGCGAGGGTGTTCTAAAATGGACTAAAGGCAGAACATTTCTTTGAGTCCCTCGCCCAGAAGCTAACGCTTTCGTTGGCGGCAGTGGCTACAAGGGAAGAATGTTATATAAAGGGAGAGGATAAAAATGCCAAAAAGAACGCCGAGACATTAAAGAGCATGTTCCCAAAGTTGAAGGTTCGTATAATCAGAGGAAGAATAATTACACCTCCCCCGTCAAAGACAAAACCATATTTAAGAGAATAGGCAAGATGGAAGAGAGCTTCACACCTATGAACACTCATTGTGAAAAAATCTCTTGAACCCCGAGAGGAATTTAATCCCCCAGAGGAGATGGAAGTGTTGGATCCCTAGTCGCTCTTAGATAAGATATGGGGAACACCTGTCCCCAAGGGATTCAAACCTCCCTCTTTAGCCAAGTTTGATGGACATAACGATCCGTATGAACACGTTGCCCCCATCAACACACAAATGGCTATCATCAAAGTGCTTGATTCCCTGTAGTGCAAGTTGTTGTTTAAAACTTTTAAGGATGTCTTCTTGTGATAGTATATGGGCTTTTCCCGTGCCTCCATTTCTAGCTATTAGGAGCTGGTAAATAAGCTTGTACACTAGTTCGCCGCCACCTGCCACAGAAAGATGTCCACCACCAGTCTTTTCAATATACGACAGGGTCCATTAGAATCATTGAGGGACTACCTCATCCGATTTAATGAAGCCACCACCGGGTTTGCCTCACTAAAGCATGAAAAGTTTGTGGGGGAGTTCCAAAATAGACTAAAGGCAAGACATTTCAATAAGTCCCTCCCCCGTAAGCTAACATTTTCGTTGGTGACAATGGTCACAAGGGCAGAATGTTATATAAAGGGCGAGGAGAACAACACCAAAAAGAAGGCGCGAGACGTTAAAGAGTGTGTTATCTATGTCAAAGGTTCGTATCATTAGAGGAAGAATAATTACACCTCTCCCATTAAATACAAAACTACATTCAAGAGAATAGGCAAGACGGCAAAGAGCTTTACGCCTCTGAACACACATTGTGAACAAATCTGGTGCGAGGTTCTTGACCTCCATAACATTCCCACGTCTCCAGCTCCAAAGGCAGATGTGATGGGTCCTGAACCAGAATAATGGTGCAAGTTAAATAAGGTCAGGGACACCACATTGAGTATTGTTACCAGCTCAAGAAAGAAATCAAGAGGCTGATCCAAGAGGCACACCTCAATAAAGATGTGAAGGGCAACACTTCCTAGGGATCAGACAAGTCTAATTCGTGAGGGAAAGAGGACCCAGAAAACCCCGGGCTTTATAAGAAAAGGAAACATCCCAAGGAAAAGGCATTAAATCTCTGCTCCATATGCTC